GTACTCTAAAGTTTAGTGTATCCAGCAACAGTGAATTTCTGTGCATTTATATGTTGCAGGTGAGGTTGTTCATATCACAGTGCTGACCATAGGATACACCAATGTAGGTACGTCTAGTGTTTGGAAGTATCACTGTTACCGCAGTGTACCAGATAGAGATTCTACCCTATCATTTGGTCGATCAGCACCCATAACAACGGAAAGATCACCACCAGCGGATGAGAGTCACTTTAAATATGACTTCATCAAAGTGGTCACATTCCCTACAGGACATGGATGGGATAATGATGGTTTCGGTCCTTTCTACTGTGAGGCTTCTAAATCCGCACGAGATGTTACAAGGGTTACTACATTTTTCCACCGATATGATGGTAAGATTATTATTATAATTTAAGTATAGGATTTCCTTATTTTTAAAGATTTATTCTTCAATGCATACTATAGAAGTTTCCCCTAGTGAAGTAGTCAAAGTGAAGTTCTGAGCATATCCCATGTGTGGTATTTAGGATGTCAATTTAAGGAAAACAAAGCCCTGTTATTGATCATTTTGAAGTTCATGAATTGGCTCTGAGATATCCCATTTACTTCAAACCTGCACAGATAAATCTGACAAATTTGTATATTATATCTGAATTATAAAAATTCAATTGTAATGCCAATTCTATACCCTTTGCTTCATAGAATATATACACATGTAGTTATCTTTTATATATTAAAAGATTTGTACATGTACATTACATATACATGTATGTAAATGCAATTTACTCATCAAAAACGCGAATTTGAAAAATAATTTTTTACTGGAAAAACCTCTGCAGAAAAAAACCGTCGAAGTTTGTTCATACCGATTTTGTTGGTGAGTAGTGCGCATGTGCCACTTGTCGGTACTCTGCATGCATTTGTATTGACCATATGTCACGATTTAAAACTTTTATATGTATAATAACGTTTTTTTGCATTGAATTGTACATGTTTAATACAAACTGCTTTACTATTTCCAAGATGGCGGCTAGGGAGAATTAATTTCCCTTGCGTAGTCCGCTGTCTAGCTTTTCAGACATGTCCCAACCGGTTTTGTCTGGCTTGTTAATATATTCTATTGTTATGCAGATTTGATATTGTTACGTACAGCGCGTATACGTGCATATTAATTTTGTGCGCTTGATTTGACCAATCGCGCTTCACCGGTGATTGGGGCTTTTTCTAACATTTCCATGTGGAAATCAGAGGGAATATTTTTATCGGCAGACACAGGTCGATACTGTGTTTTTGTTTACTGTGCCGGTCGAATTTTCGTCCTACATGGACTTGCCGACTTCGTCCCCGGACCTCTCCCGGGTGACTTTTTATTTGTGGAGAGACTTGAATCGCTTTTGCTAGCTTATTCTTGGATTTGTCTTTTCCACCCACACTTATCGTCGTAGTGACACGATGAACGCCATCGTCACCACCTCGCCATCATCTGCTTCGTTGTAGTGACACGATGAACGCCATCGTCACCACCTCGTCATTATCTGTTGTGTTGACACGATGAACGACATCGTCAGCATCTCACCTCATCATCATCATCATTGACTCATTATATTTTCGAATGGTATCATTGTGTTGTGCTGACACGATGAACGCCATCGTCATCACCTCACCGTCATCCGTTGTGCTGTGCTGGCTCGCTGATTATCGTCACGTCATCACCACATCATTGACATTATCTTCATGACCATCATCGCATCCATCGATTGATCGTCTCATCACATTCATCAACAAGACCAACGTCTTCATCGTCTCTTTCATCATCGTCGTCTTCATCTTTGTATCCTTCATCGTCGCTGTCTTCTTCATCGTTTCGTCGCCTTCATCAGCATCGTCATCGCCTGACCTCGGTAATGCTGATTTGGCTTGATCGTTTATTTTCATTGAACGCTTTGCTGAACTAATTAACTGTTTCGCCGAGCGATGATTTTTGCTTGGTTTAGATTTTCTCTTTTTTGCTCTTATAAGCTACCATAGGTTAAGTTCGGCACTGTCGCCATGTTCTTCAGTCAACGCAGTGCACAGTCAGAAATGTAGTCCAGTTTGACTCATTTACCAGTTAACCCGTCAGTTGCCATTCAAGTATTTCCGACGAAGTTTTGTCCCGCCACAGAAGTGAGTGTTTAGATTAATATAAACTGGAATGTGAACTGATAAAACGGAAAATAAGATAGTTTCAAGTTGTACTGTAAAATGGATTCTAAAGAACTGTATTTAACTCATTAGCATAATGCACGTGTGGCATTAATTCCAAGATGGCTGCGCCTAAAATGGCCGCGCCCATAAGACGTACTTTTATTCATGTGTTTTTTCCAGTTCAATAATAATTGTCAAAACAGAATTACAGTAATAGGCAAATATCGTTTTATGTCATTTATAGAGTAAACAGTGTATATATGTAGAAGTCCTAAAGATAAAGGATGTTGATATTTGTGCATGCTAGAATCCTGGATTTTATGCAGTTTGTTTGAGTGACAAAAGTTGGTCTGTGGAATTTGATTTAGCTTGCTTAAAAGTTGCAAGACACCATTTATTGACTAGCTGATAGGTTTAGCTTTGCACCTCTAGCATAGTATTTGGACTGAGAATTGAAAGAAAGTGTTTATTCATTTGAAGAGTTAATAATGCAACTCGAAATGCTTGCTGTAGTGCATGTGTGGATTTCAGGAGTAGATTTCAGATGTAAATTACAGGTGTAAATTACATTTAATGTCAGATAGTTTATTTTGTATAAAGTGTAATCACTAGATTATTACTGGGAAGTTTTATGCAGTCAGATATTTAAGTTTAATTCGTCAAACAGTGTTGAATTGTATGAAGACATTTTATGAGACAGTTTTTCTTAGGCGAGCAGAAATATGCAAATCAGGTGCCTGTCAAAGTCAGTGAAGGTCATACTATACATTTAAAGTGGCAATCCATTGTTGAGGTTTTTAGAAGGAATTTATGCTATGAAGATAGATGAGAATTATCAAGCTTGTGTATGGATGCAAGATAAAGATGTTTACAGTTATTTTGGTTCATGCAAATTGGCAGTGATCTGTTTAAAGGGAAGTCTGGTCGGTTTTAGAAACTCTGAAAGTATGAGTATTTGAAAGTAATGCATATTAGAAAATGCATAAGGTTTTGTAACCATTGGTTACTCTGGATTTTTGTTAGTTAAAGGACGAGGTCAAGATTGACAGTTTTAGAACAAAAGCAAATGTGTTTAAATGAATCTTTATAGATACAGTTACTTGGTTTCTGCAGATAATTTGGATTATATATTGCATTCTTGTGTATTACATGAATGATATACTAAATCTGTCATTGTTATTTTATCTGTCTTTACAGATCGAATAAATAAGCTTCACAGCTTAATATCTCCATTTACGGCTGGACTCTCCAACTTCATTTTTCCCTTTCTTCAACTATTCATTAACGATCCCTTTTATTGGATTTTTGATGATTGACATTTGTTGTTTTTGATGCTTGATTATATTTTGTTGCATTCGATTTTGAACGTGACGGAGATTATACCTCCGGGTTGGTTCCCTCGAGATGATTATGTTTACTATGATCACTGTTATTTGTATGTTAATTATTTGCCGTCTGAGGGCGTTCTTCCCTCCGGAAACATATGATTATTATGTGTACACGACTGTTATTATACGACCAGATGATTTGTGTTGATTATCTTTAATAAATCATTGTTATTAATATTATATAACCTGATTGTTTGATAGTGCAGTTTATTCCTCGTGAGATCGTGAAGTTAAAAAAGTACGACACCCATCAGGGGAGTTCTACCAAACATTAATGTAAGTGAGGAGAGTCACGTGACTGACGTGAGCAAATATGGGTATCTTACCGAAGGTTGCATTTATGTACTGCAAAGATCTGTGACATTTCGGCAGGCGTTTAAAAAAAACACACTACAGAGGTGGTTTTGTCGATTTTGTTTGTGATAACCGTGGTACGGGAAAACCATGTTAGCCGTGGTACCGAGAGCCATCGTAACCGTGGTAACCGGCTGAGAAACATGGTTACCGTGGTACCGAGAAACATGGTTACCGTGGTGCCAAATTATTTGTCCAAATAACCATCCACCATAATAACCATGGTATCGAAAACTATGGTAATTCCATGGTACTTTTTTATAATGCCTCAAAAATCCGTGAAATTTTGGCAGGCGTATACAAAAAAAAACACTCCAGAGGTGGATTAGTCGATTTTGTTTTTTCTTCGTGTTTCGAGTCAAACACCGGAGTGTAAAAAAAATTAATGCATTTTGGTTGTAGTGTAAATGCAGCTACTGTCGAAGAAAAAAATGCTCAGAAGACGGTTAACTGAGGATCAGGAGCGATAGTGATTCAATAAAATGGCTCAACTTACGATGCTTTTTAGCATTTTATGCTTGAGAATGGCTATCATAAAGGTTTGATACTTTACATATATCTAATGAGAATGAATCTCAAGATGCCAGAGTAGGATTATTTTGAAAAAATTGACTTTCTTGTAAATAGCACACAACTTTAAAAAGTAATTATAAGCACAGCATTCACAGTAATGCGTTGAGCCTTAAACATGCCCATTCGTAGTGATGTTGTTTACGTAATACATTAAAATGGTCAAAGGAAAGTCAAAACAAATTTTGACACACACCGGACTAGTTGCCATGTTCCAATCTTGAAAATGACCTAAGCTTGTTATTGAAAAATATCAACAGGAAAAGATTTATTCCAATATATGCAAGTAAATATTTTTAAACATATATTTCAATATGCATGTATGCATAAATGTCTGGTTTCCGTTAGTGATTAAATGGCTATAGTGCAAATGCCTGTAGGTGCTACATGTAATGTTTTACAGTTAACATTTTGTATGCTGTTAATTTATTATTATCATCCATTTTAACAGCTAAATTCATATCAAGTGATGAATTGTTTACAAAGACTGTCCATGTGAATGAGACCGGAGTGATGATCAGCATGACTAGTCGCTATAATGCTGATGTGAGTGACGATGTGATTACTTGGATGAAAGATGGAAGTCACGTTCTTACATCATTTGGTGGGCAGACTCAGATCAACTTCCCAAACCCAATCCAGACATCAGACCAAGGAATCTATGAGATCTACTATGATAACGAGAGGAATCAAAATAGAGGAGGATTATACCGACTCATCGTCAGAGGTAAATGTACAAGTTTATTCCTGGTTAATTGCAATGACGAATATCGTGAATATCGTGAACAAGGGTCACTATACGAATTTCGCCGAGTTTCCGCCCGATTATAACACGTATCGGCTATGGCGTCATTTTTCAGACTGCTTTTTGCCCCTTTTCCGTCCGTTTTGCAATGACGAACATCTTCATTAGGGACTTTTAGATTTACACGACGAGAGCGTGGTCTTCCGCGTGTGACATTGTGTTAAGGCACTGGGCTGTGCCCGGCAGTGCCTTAAAAGGACGTCACATTACCTTAAAAGGATTTCACACGTGGCGGTCCACGTTCTCGTCGTGTAAAAGTCCCTATTGCCTTGTTTTCGTTCACATTCTGCCCCATTAATATTCTTGTTTTCCTGGTTATCGTTAGGAAATCGCACACAGTGCTTGTCATTCCTAGGTAGGTGCTTCCCTCATGTCCGTTTCCTTTCAAATTCCATATAGTCCTTAACATCTAATCAAGGTCACTACTTTCTTCAATTTTCGAAATCACTCATGCATAACCATCCAGGCCTCATTTTGTCTGTTTCTGGTCCATTTTAAGGCCTTCCTTTCTTCCTTCCTATCTCAACTATCCTAGATCCTACAAACTTCTAAAAAATTCCTCTAGATAGTCTCAGAGGTATTCTTTTATCTGCGACGAATAACTTGACCTTCAAAATGCCATCTTCGTACTCGAAATTTAAATCTGTAACCGACTCCGTCAAAAATCTCTCAAATTCTTCAAAAATTTACCCCTAAAAATCTAAAACTGTCATAACTTTCCCATATAAATTCCGTTTTTTAATTTAAATATCACAGCATCTTTATCTCACAATTGCACATAGACATGCCAAATTTCACACTCCAATGGCTATGCAAGACATAAATAGCCCCCTCTAAAGTTCTGGGAATTGGCTTTCTTTCTGTGGTCGTATCTCTATTGTGTCTTGGCAAACCCGTTCCTTTTTTGGATTTAGATACTTGAACATATGCCCTTTCCAGCCAAATGCAAAACTATATACGCTAACGCTGACCGACTTTGCGAAAAATGCCCTCCAAATATGCAGTTTTCAAAAATTGAGAAATAACTTCAACTTGCTCTAAAATCCTTATACCTACGTCAATGAAACTTTGCAGACACATGTATCCATATACGTGACAACTGTCTGCAAAGTTTGGTCAATTTTAATGACGTCAGCGCAGAGTCATCGCCCAAAATCATGAATTTACTATGCATTACGTAATAGCGCGTTTAAGGATAAAGTTGAGTTCTGGTCATGTGATTGCATTGTGAAAGAAACGGTGTTGAATCTATCAGAAAAGGTTGATCATCTAGTATATAAGTATTCGTGTGTATTGCAAGGTTCTGGAATCATCAAAATGATCAGAAATTTGGCCAAATCTTGGCAAAGTTACAAGCACTGTACATAGAATGATGTATATCGGACTACACGAGCATATGGCGAAAAAAACCTACCCCCCCCCCCCCCGATTTTTACAATGTTTCATGTCATATTTAGAATATGAAGGCATTTGAAGAGCCATGCTTTTCAGGGAACATGTTTAATCTGATGTTCTTCCACCCTTGCATAATAACAATGATAACGCTCACAAATTATTTTTTACCTCTTCCCAGAACTCAACCTTCTATTTATTGCGTGCAGTACATTGCGCGCAGATAACAATGGTGTCAATTAAGTGTCCTTTCGAATGATTCCAAACACGTTATATGTTATCACAGAAATATTTGAGTAAATTGCATTTGAACAAGGGTCACTATACGAATTCCGCCGAGTTTCCGCCCCATTATCACACGTATCGGCTATAACGTCATTGTTTCAGACTGCTTTTCGCCTCCCAAACGTTTTTCCTTGAAAATTTGCAGTGACATTCCGAGTTGCAATACACAGGGCACCTCGAAGCCGGATTTTTGAAATTGGTCAAGGGGGCCATTTAAGAGATTTTTTTTTTCTTTTTTGGGTCCTGGATTTGATGAAACATTTGTCCCATTTATATGTCCCATACTATTGGTATTTTCCTGGACTTCTCCAAGGCCTCCGACACAGTTAACCATGACATTCTTTTATATAAATTATCCCATCATGGGATCAGAAGGAAGGCCTTGGAGTGGTTCAGGAATTACCTCACAGACAGAATGCAATATGTTGATTTAAATGATCATGATTCATGTCTACGACAAATCACTTGTGGTGTCCCGCAAGGATCTCTCCTTGTTCCGCTCTTGTTTCTACTTTACATTAATGATTTCCAAACTTCCTCTCCCATTTTGTCATTCATACTTTTTGCCGATGATTCCAATATTTTCTTTACTCATCCAAATCCCAATATTATTGCTGACCTTGTAAACAATGAATTACTATCTGTGTTGGAGTGGATTAATTCCAATAAGTTATCTCTTAATGTTACTAAAACGAACTATATGCTTTTCAGTAACTTCATAACATCACTACCTGGTAACATTTCCATTAATGACACAAACATCTGTTGAATCTATACTCCACCTCAGGCGCGTACGTATGATTTTTTTTAGGGGGGGGGGGGGGGGTTTAACATTTTTAAATCGGGCCGAAAATTTCGCAACGACTCAGCCAGCCGCTGCATAAGCGGGGGGGGGGGGGGGGGGGTAGCAACTTTTTTAGGTCAGCCATTGGTATAATTATTTTTTTTTAAATCTAAAAAAAAAAAATTACCAAAGGGGGGGGGGGTTTCCTCCAAAATACACACATAAAAAATACCAAAGAGGGGGGTTCAACCCCCCCCCCCCCCCAGCGTACGCGCCTGCTCCAACTTAATTTCCCCTTATTTAAATTACGGTATTCTAGCTTGGGGAAACTGCTCCAAGACTCAACTGCATAGTTAATTGATCATTCAAAAAAGAGCCCTTAGAATAATTCACAATGTTGGTTTCCGGTCACATTCAAACATTTTATTTTTCAATAATAACCTTTCACATGTGTCTGATATATTTCTGTATAATTTGGGTATTTTCATTTGTCAACTTACAACAAATGAATTACCTGATTCTATTGCTTTTCTTTTCACTAAGAACTTGGATATTCATTCATACCCTACCAGGAAAAGGAATGATTTTCACATCCCCCGTTTACACACTACATTTTTTCAAAAATACGATAGTGTATACTGGTCCATCTTTCTGGAACAATCTTCATCCTAATTTACTTCACCCTTCTTCTATTTATCAATTTAAATATAAACTCAAGTTACATTTGTTAAATGCATACAGTAATAATGATGATTAGACATTTCATGTATAATGTTCTTTTTTCTTATAACGTGTACCATTTTACAATTCATTTTACAATTCATTTGCAATTTTAGGCGTTCTTTTGCCTGTGTGACATAAGAGAATTTTAACAGGAATGAATAATTTATGACTTCTAGTGTTCAGTTTTTGTAAACGTTCATGTGGTTCAAACATGTGGTGGAAATAGGTGCATACTCTGCTTTTTATTGGCTCGTTACTTCTCTTCCTTTTAGTGTATTTCTTTTTCTTCTTTTTTCCCCTTTTTTCTGTATTGTACTTTATTAAACTCCAAACAATTATTTGTCAAATTACTGCCGTCTTTAATTTAAATTGTGTACCTCTCTCTACAGTAAATATTTTCTGTCCCTGTCATTTGTTCAAGTCTCCCAGGAACCTATTCTTTACAAGCTTTGCTTTCCTATAGGTTCCTGCACATTTCACAGTTTGTACTTTTGTCTGGGTTTTCCTTTAAATGATATTAGTTGTCAAACAATTGTGATGACATGAAACTTTGTCTTTTATGTATATTTTGTTATCTGTATTATATTTGTGAAATATATGTGAAATGTGATACCAATAAACTCAACAAACTCAACTCAACTCATCATTATTATTATTATTATTATTAATGAATAAATGTATGTGAAAACGTCTTGAAAATGTGCGTTTTGATAACAATGTCTAAGTCTGATCATCTGGGATGGCGCGTTATCGTAAGATGGACAGCTCTTTCCCTTTTTCAAATTGTATTTCAAAATAATTATGAAACTTCAAATGATAAAATGCAGGTGTAAGCTAGTCATGATCTGTGATGTGATTTGTGCAAACGGGTAGTTTAAAATTACCCGTATGTACATGAATATTTAGGATGTGATAGAGCCAGTGACAAAGACTTTAGTTCTAGTTTTGATAACATTATTTTTAAACAAACTTTTACATTGTGTACTCCTATTGTTTTTACCCTACTTATCTTCTATAAATTCTCTATGCGATCTACTATGATAACGAGAGGAGTCAAAATAGAGGAGGATTATACAGACTCATTGTCGGAGGACATGTATAAGTGTACTTCAGTTGAGTTCAGACTGGGCTTCTTGAAAGGGGTCATTTGTTCTCCCAGTCCAAGAGATTATTGTTTGTTTATGACGCTGTAAAAAGTGTTGCTTCATACTTTGCCTAGAAATCTTTATTTTTTTAATTATTAGATTATGCGAGTCACATATGATGTGGATGATGGTCTTTACATATTCATTTATAATTCATTATTAATAAATAAATGAAAGTGAAATATTCTATAAAATTTTGGTTTAGACTGAGCAGTCTGGTAAATAATGTCCAAGTCTGATCATTTGTGATGGCGCGTTATTGTAAGATGGACAGCTCTTACTCTTTTATCACATTTTATTTCAAAAGATTTATGAAACTTCAAAGGATGTAAATTCAGAATGTGACAGAGCCAATGGCATACACTATACTATAGTTCTACACTCGAGAACATTGTTTTGTAACAAACTCTACGGTAGAGTTTGTTACAAAACAACCCCGCTTATCTCCTATCTTTTTTCATCTTAGTTATGATGTAATCTCTAGTGACAGGTATTTTACTCAATTATTTTTCTCTCTCCCTATCTCATATTAGAATGCCCTGCTGGTAAGTGGGGTCCCCCTGAGTGTTATAGCATCTGTGAAAAATGCTTCAATGGTGGAATCTGTCATGACAAGTCTGGTCTATGCATCTGTCCTAACAACTTCAAGGGGCCGAATTGTTTAGAAAGTAAGTAGGCATGTATAACTTCATTTGGAATGATGTTTATGTATCCCTTAATAGATGAATTGAGGAACATATTTCTTGTCCTATTTCATTGAAAATGAAGAAAGCTATAAACATCTGTTTTACAGTACATTTCAAATATTTTAATTTCAGGAAAGCAATCATACTTGAAATTTAACTCAATAAATCTTATTTCTTATGCAAGTCTAACAAGTTTTGATTCAACAATCGAACAATTCTTTTCGTCAGTTTGTAGAACCGATGGTGGAAATCAATTTGGATGGAATTGCGAGTTTGAATGTTCATCCAGGGGTGGAGCAAATAGCTGTCATGGGATACTGTTTTGCCTACCTGATCCTTATGGATGTTCATGTGACGTTGGTGCCCATGGTCTTGCATGTACCACACGTAAGTCATCTGATAGTCATTTAATTGTCCTCAAATTATAATAGTGAAAGTATATTCATGTAGGCCATTTATAGCACATACCATAGGGTGACTGGATTCATGGGTGAGGTCAGGGGCAACTCAGTGAACAAAAGAAGGAGGAGAAGAAGAAAGAGGAGGAGGAGGAAAAGAACAAAAAGGAAAAAGGAAACGTACAACAAGAAGGAGGAGGAGAAGAAGAAGATAAATGAAGAAGAAGTTATTGTAACATGCACAATATTTTTCTTCCTGACGAATACATTGTATCTGTCCATCTTGCTTTTATACTTTGAATTCCTTTACAGTATGTACTGCTAGTACATATGGTCCAGGATGTTCACAGACATGTCACTGTGCAGGCGGTGGTTCGGCATGTGATATTTATAGTGGAATATGTACAGGTGGATGTCAGACTGGCTGGTCTGGAGACAACTGTCAAAGTAAGTCATGATCAGCAATGATAACAAATGATATGACATAAATGCTCTCCCAAATAAGATAAATCAGAATGTTTACATGTACACTTCAGCTTTGTAATAAACTTCCTGTTATGTTGTGTTCACCTATGCCTACATGAACCGGATTGCTCCTGCAACCCTAATGGAACTCAGTAGTTAAAGTTTTCATTTGAAGTTATCATATTTATTTTGTAGAAATATTCAGATCAAGCTGTGTTTTGGGGACAACTCCTCCAATGTATTCCATTTTCATTATGTTCATGGATGACAAGAATGCCTTCTACAAATACATAAACTTATTTAGTGAAGGCACTGTTAAATTTAGGATTATGTGCAATAATTGAAGTTTGTATATAGTGCTCGGAAAAAATTCAAACTAGTTACAAGGTAAAGAATTGTGTAATGGAAACAACCATATTGTTGTGGACTTCTTCTAATATTATTTGCTGGTGCCTGCTAAATTGTGATTTCTAAAATATTTTCTTGGCATCCTCAGTTCCAGATGAATGTGAAGCCGGTTACTATGGATCTCAATGCACTGATAAATGTCATTGCTTTAATGATGAACCATGTGAGAAACAGACTGGAGAGTGCCCTGAGCAGAAGTGTGCTCTAGGATACAAAATACGCAATGACGGTGTCAAATGTCAAGGTAAAATGCTACTTTTTAATAAAGGGTGTTGAATTTTTCATATCAATTTCTATTTATTATCTCCAGTCTACATACGACATGTACATACATGAATGGAACAGTGTGCTAAATGACACACAGGTATTTTGTTTTTATGGGCTTACATCGAAAGGGTGCGGTGCGGTGCGACGGTGTGGTGAGTTCAACGCACCCATTCGATAAAAGGCCCCCCGCTTTTCTCGAAAGGGTGCGTTGAGAACGGAGGACCGTCTTAGCACACACTTTCGAGAAAAGAGGGGGGTCTTTCCTCGAAAGGGTGCGTCGACTAGTCTATCACATCAGTCGTTTAAAATGTATAAGGAATAGAAATGTCGTTTTATAAATTGAAATAATCAAAATTGAAACTAGTTTTTGGCGTAGTCTTGCAGATCAGGCATTTATAAGAATTAAATCAGTAAATAAAAAGAAACACAATGAAATAAGAATGTTCCTTGCATGGGTCTGTGGCACTCTGTGCTGATCCTATAAAAGCTCCAATCCCCCTCTCTGTCTCTCAGGCGCGGATGCAAGGGGGGGTCGAGCAGGCCTCGCCCCCCCCCCCCCGCAAAAGAGAGAGAAAGAGAAGGAAAAGAAGGGAAGGGAAAAAGTAGAGAAAGGGACAGAAAGAAGAAAAGAAAAGGGGGAAGAAGGAGACCAGGGGCGAAGGGTCTTGCGTCGCAGGCTGTTGCCTCCCCCCCCCCCCCCCATAATAAAAATAAGAGAAAAGGAAGGAAAGGGAAAGAAAAAAGGAAAAGAGCAGATAAAGGGAAAGAAAATAGAGGAAGAAGAAAAGAAAAGAAGGGGGGATATCAGTTGCAATTTTCACGCCAACAAGTTGTGGGTCGGGGGGCGGCAAATGGCCCTTGCCCCCCCCCCCCCACGCCCCCGCTAACAAAAAAAGAGAAAAGGAAGGAAAATGGAAAGAGAGCGAAAAGGGAACAAAAAAGATGAAGTAGAAAAGAAAAGGGTGAAAAGAAGGGGAGATCAGCAACGGTTAATCCCGCCAACAACGTGTGGATCGGGGTGAGGGCCGAAAGGCCCTTGCCTCCCCTACCCCCAGCAAACCTAGAAGAGAGAGAGAAGAAAGGGAAGGGAAAGAGGAGAGAAAGGGAAAGAGGAGAGAAAGGGAAAGAGAAAGAAGAAAGGTAGGGGAGATCGTTTGCAATTTTTCCCGCAAACAAAGTATAGATCGGGGGGGGGGGGGGTGATAGGGGAGTAGAGGGGGGGGGGGCCTTGGTATAAATAACATTCAAACGTTTATAAACGTTTATTAGCTTATCAACACTAGTGTGGCTAGGAGAGATTAGACCACACAGCGAGGACACTGACAGGTGCTATCTCATCAACTCAGCTCTCAAATAACATAAGAAATAGAGGATCATGGGGACCAATAGGCACCAATTGGGGAAGTTTTCTATATAGAGGGAGCACCGTAATTTCCATAACGGTGATTTACAAATAATGCTGAAACGATATAATTTCCGAGATTTTAAGTAAATTATAATTTTTGTCTGAAAAATTCTTGTCTGAATTCAGTTCCCCCCCCCTCCCGCGCGAAAGCTTTTACGTTTCAATCAATTATTAGAGAAAAAAGACGATCATTGTACCGTTCTCGACTCTTAATTCTTGTCTTAATTCAGTCCCCCCCCCCCCCCTCCCTCCCGCGCGAAGTGCGGAAGTTTTGAGCTTTCCTGAAATTATTATAGAGAAACGATTCGTAATACTTGTCTGAATTTCAAAAATGTTCTTTGTCTGCTCCTTTTTTTTCCTACGTCATCTTCCCTTTTTCTCCTCTCTTTTTTGTTTTTTGTTTTTTTGGCCGGCGTTCTGGGGGGATCGCCCCCACCTACCCCACCGCCCCCCTCCCCTAGGTCTCAGGGGTTTAAGGCATTAAATTACCGTCAGATGAGCATATTTTGATACCTCATTATTTTGTGACACTGGCAGTTAACTATTCTTTCTTTCTATTTCTCTTTAATATACTTTTTCAACAAAAAAACAAATCTGAGGGGAAGGGGGGGGGGGGGGCTCGAGGCTTCCGATCCCGCCACTTCGCGGGCCCTGACATCATTAGGCAACTTAAAAAAGCATATTTCTTGCCTGACTGCAAATTTAGGAATTTGCTATTTTCCAACAAACGCATAAAAAATTATAATTTACTTAAAATCTCGGAAATTATATCATTTCAGCATTATTTGTAAATCACCGTTATGGAAATAACGGTGCTCCCTCTATATAGAAAACTTCCCCAATTGGTGCCTATTGGTCCCCATGATCCTCTATTTCTTATGTTATTTGAGAGCTGAGTTGATGAGATAGCACCTGTCAGTGTCCTCGCTGTGTGGTCTAATCTCTCCTAGCCACACTAGTGTTGATAAGCTAATAAACGTTTATAAACGTTTGAATGTTATTTATACCAAGGCCCCCCCCCCCCTCTACTCCCCTATCACCCCCCCCCCCCCCCCGATCTATACTTTGTTTGCGGGAAAAATTGCAAATGATCTCCCCTACCTTTCTTCTTTCTCTTTCCCTTTCTCTCCTCTTTCCCTTTCTCTCCTCTTTCCCTTCCCTTCCTTCTCTCTCTCTTCTAGGTTTGCTGGGGGTAGGGGAGGCAAGGGCCTTTCGGCCCTCACCCCGATCCACACGTTGTTGGCGGGATTAACCGTTACTGATCTCCCCTTCTTTTCACCCTTTTCTTTTCTTCTTCATCTTTTTTGTTCCCTTTTCGCTCTCTTTCCTTTTTCCTTCCTTCTCTCTTTTTTTGTTAGCGGGGGCGGGGGGAGGCAAGGGCCATTTGCCGCCCCCCGACCCACAACTTGTTGGCGGGAAAATTGCAACTGATATCCCCCTTCTTTTCTTTTCTTCTTCCTCTATTTTCTTTCCCTTTATCTGCTCTTTTCCTTTTTTCTTTCCCTTTCCTTCCTTTTCTCTTATTTTTATTATGGGGGGGGGGAGGCAACAGCCTGCGACGCAAGACCCTTCGCCCCTGGTCTCCTTCTTCCCCTTTTCTTTTCTTTTTTCTTTCCCTTTCTCTACTTTTTCCCTTCCCTTCTTTTCCTTCTCTTTCTCTCTCTTTTGCAGGGGGGGGGGGGGGCGAGGCCTGCTCGACCCCCCCCTTGCATCCGCGCCTGAGAGACAGAGAGGGGGATTGGAGCTTTTATAGGATCAGCACAGAGTGCCACAGACCCATGCAAGGAACATTCTTATTTCATTGTGTTTCTTTTTATTTACTGATTTAATTCTTATAAATGCCTGATCTGCAAGACTACGCCAAAAGTAGTTTCAATTTTGATTATTTCAATTTATAAAACGACATTTCTATTCCTTAAACATTTTAAACGACTGATGTGAAAGACTAGTCTACGCACCCCTTCTAGAAAAGACCCCCCTCTTTTCTCGAAAGTGTGTGCTAAGACGGTCCTCCGTTCTCAACGCACCCTTTCGAGAAAAGCGGGGGGCCTTTTATCGAATGGGTGCGTTGAACTCACCACACCGCGCCGCACCGCACCGCACCCTTTCGATGTAAGCCGTTTTTATGTACCATTTATGAACGCTCAAAAATACATGTACATGTACAGTATGTCCATTGGCTATATCAACCATATATTATGTCCATAGTGCTGAGATAGTAAATACATTGGTATAATGTATACTCTGGAGGGGGATTCTAGTAGACAAATATTGACTTCTTTGGAGGGCATGGTTACTATGGTGATTATTCGCCCAACGTGATGTAACTATACTATGCCCGTAGACAAAAGCGAGGGGCATATATAGTGCAATCTCAAGAACACTGAGGAGCAACATGTACATGTATTTTAATTTGAATAGTGAGGTAAAAAATTAGCCGTAAATATTTGTTTAATATATCGTATTCATTGTTTGGATTAATCCAAAATATATCATGACAAAGTATTCCATTTAAAGTGTTTTCATTGATGGAGGGAAAGTTTAACAATCTGAAAAAGGGTGTGTGCCAACTGCTTGTTCCATTGTAAATTTCATGCGTAGAAGTAGACCCGAGCAAAAGTTATCTTTGCCTTTAGTATTCAGTAATAATCATTGACCAGATGTCTCCAATATAAACTTAAAATGTGTTTTATTTATTTCAGAGTGTGAAGGGGGTACCTTTGGTTTGGATTGTCTTCAGCAATGCCACTGTGCTCAAGAGGCTTGTGAGACGGAGAGGGGTCTTTGTAAGGGACTATGCATTGATAGCTGGATTGAACCGAGCTGCAGTCAAAGTAATTATACCTAGCATATATTGTATTCTGTTTTGTTCCCTTGTTCAGCCATCATTAATATGATTATAATTCTTGTTTGTTGCAGACACTTGAGCATAGTTCAAAATATTTTGTATGGTTTGCTCTGTATAAAGTCCAATTTATATTTTAATGAAGTTTCTACTCCATTTTACACGCAGTAAGCGGAAGTTAAATGTAAACCCCCCCCCCTCCAAATGATTATCAGTTATAGGTTAATCTTTGTACGGTCAACCCTGTCTATAGCGATCGCCCAAGGGAAACACAAAAAGTAGTTGTTTTAGACAGGTGGTGTTTTTAGACAGGTCGGCGTAATTGGCCACCTTTTTAGCCAATCAATAAATCTAATAACTCAAGTTTCTTTGTTGGTGTTTAAAAATATTCAAAATAAAAATACAAAATGATTTAACATTCTGGGGGGGATTGTCCAGGATTATTTCATTTGTAGGCATATTAAACAAATTATTTAAAAGAAATGAATGCACGCCCACGCACCAGGTCTCTCACAGGCCGGTCGAGTCATCGATCGCGAAGTTCATGACAATGACGCTGTGTAGTTATGTTTTCAATAGGCTCGTCCCTATCCTGTCGGTCATTAAATTTTTTGATTGAAGTTTTAATAAAAGCTTGGGGTTGATTTGATTTTTGTGTGTAAATGACCGTTAGATCTAGCTTTACAGGCTCCCGCTGTGCGAGCCGTATACAGCAGAGCGAGTGAACGAAATTACTCAAGCGCTAATGTTGCTGGTCGCTACATGGCTAGCCCTGACTGTCGTTGTGTGGGCATTTCCGGTGGCTAGCGAAAGCAAAATGAGTGGCCGCTGGTCGCGTTAGGGAGGTGGTCGTTGTGCACGGGCTCTTAACTACATGAAATCTCACAGGGGGGATTTTAAGTGGTCGTTATAGACAGGTGATCGCTAAGACAGGTTTGACTGTAATACAAAAATCATTTTCTCCAGTGGAAAGACATCATGATTGGTAAAAGTCAGTGGTATCACGAAGCATGTACGATTTACAGACCAGGAGTATTGCATTGATATACATTAATCAATTCGACATTCGACTTTAAACAAAATAATCAGATTGATATCTTCTCTTGTTTAGGTAAACCTGCATGTACATGTACAAGTGTATTTGTGGTAGTTTTTTATGATCTTGCCTATAGTTCTGGATCTAAACACTGATATAATGAAGTGACTGAGTTGCAATCTTCTATTGCTGCAGACATGTATATTTGTATTGAATGTTTTGTATTTTTGCTTTGTTTTTGACAGGAATATCAATATTATAAGTAATTGTTCATTCTTTCTTATACAAACGAATCCATTCTTTTATTTATGAATATCAGGATAGGTCAATGTCTTATAAAGTGCATGTATTGTTAGTTATTATTACATAAAGCAAATAGATTCTGTGTGTCAAACTGTGTGTATTATTTAATGTTCTTCTTTCTTATTTCATCGTCTTGGTTTTTGACAGGAATATCCAGATTGGTTCCAGTGAGAGTGAACCCATACCAACCATCTAGCTTCACATGCTATGTTGAGGGTATCCCACTTCCCGATGCATCCTCCGTTGATCTTTACAGACGAACTGGAAGCAACAATAACAAAACAGGAATCACCAGCAGATCAAGCACTGTCTCAGGGTCAGAACGAGCTGTTATCTTTGATGTTGATAGTGTGTACCCACAGGAAGATGGGGGATACGAGTGTACTCTTACTGTTGGAAACACAGGCTATCCCAGTACGCCAATTACCAACCCAACCTATGGTGAGCAAACTGTGTGACATCGCTTCAATTAAATATAATTCTGTTTAATAGAAAGTCTGAATTCACTTTCTTTACATGCATTCTCAGTCATGCTGTCTGCATCCAGGCCGGCCGGGTTACAGGGAATTGCATCAGTTATGTAATAGAGGCTATGGTTTTTTCTGACCTTTCATGTCAAATGAAGAGGCAGGCAGGCACATATGCCTTCCCTCTCCATGTAATAAAAACCAAAACACTGCCACCCCAACAGCAACTGTTACAAAAGCAACCACAACCACAACTACATCACAAACCATCACCACAACTACAACAGCCACAACAAAAACTACATTTTCATCAGCTGTAACATCAACAACAAACATAATGTTAGATGCTGCTTGTAAGTATCGGCTTGCATGGTGATGTAGATATACAGTAGGCTTGGGGTGCACCATGTGAGAGAGAGAGGGAGGATTGAGGAGTCCTGAAAAGGACTCTCGATAATCTTTCTTTCTTGGGTGTGTGTAGTCCTGAAAAGGACTATTGGTGTAGTCTTAAAAAAGACTGTTGGTTATCTTTCCTTTAGCTTATAGTTCTAGGGAGAACTATAGCGCTTGGAGAGGATGAGTGGCGGGAGTGGCTCGACGTTTCGAACTGGTTGACTATCCGTCGTCAGGAGTGGAGAATAGCTGGCGTTCGTGAGCTTAAGTCACTGGGGTGCGGACGTGGGGGAAATATAATGAAAAACATAATGTTGCAAAATATATGTGTGAAGCCTTCTGTAATACAAACAAATGGCTGAGCCCTTGGGGCATACCGTAATAAACCGATATATATTAATATTAACATGGAATGTCTGCTCCTATATTGATACAGTTGTTTGTGCAGGCAAGTCGCATCATGACCATTGACCCGTACATAAGCCCTACATGTGAATTAATTAATATACTTTATATTTGCAAGGACGATCTTCGTCATTGCCTTGTTTTCGTTCACATTATGCCCCATTAATATTCTTGTTTTCCTGGTTATCGTCAGGAAATCGCATTCGTTTTGCACACAGTGCTTGTTATTCTAATAGGTGCTTTCCTCATGTCCGTTTCTTTTCAAATTTCATAGGCATAGTCTCTAACATATCAAGGACACTACATTCTTCGATTTTCGAAATCACTCATGCATATACGTCCAGGCGCCATTTTGTCCGTTTCTGGTCCATTTTAAGGCCTTTCTTTCTTCCGTCCTATCTCCACTATCCTAGATCCTACAAACTTCTCACAAATTCCTCTAGATAGTCTAAGAGATGTTCTTTTATCTGCGACACATAACCTGACCTTCAAAATGGCATCTTCGTACTCGAAATTTAAATCTGAAACCGACTCCATCAAAAATCTCTCAAATCCATGAAAAATTGACCCTTAAAAATTTAAAACTGACATAACTTTCTCATATAAATTCCGTTTTGTAATTAAAATGTACAGCATCTTAATCTCATGCCAAATCATGCCAAATTTCACGCTCCAATGGCCATGCAAAACATGAATAGCGGCCTCTAAAGTTCTGGGAATTGGCTTTCTTTCTGTGGCCGTATCTCTATTTTGTTTTGGCAAACCCGTACCTTTTTTTGGATTTAGCATAATTATATATACTTACTCTGACTGACTTTGCGAAAAGTGCCCTCTAAATATGCAGTTTTCAAGAAAATTGCGAAATAACTTCATTTTAATGACGTCAGCGCAAAGTTATCGCCCGAAATGTTTCCGCCAAGTTATAACACGTATCGGCTATGACGTAATTGTTTAGACTGCTTGTCGCCTCCCTACCTTTTCTTTTTCTCCTTGAAATTTTGCAAGCGTGTTCTGGGTTGCCAAACGCAGGGCCTCTCGAAGCCAGATTTTTAATATTCGTCAAGGGGGTCATGTTAGACGCCATTTTATACTCTGCATGTTTATGTTAGAATGGACGGCCGTTCATGCCACAGCACGCGTCATCACGTGTTCATCATGCACCCAAATCCTATTGGTTTTGCACGGAGTGCTTGCGAGCCCTTCCTAGGTTCTTTTTCCTATCCCAATTTTGTTCAAACTTCGTAGGCGTAGTCGCTAGCATCCCATCAAGGTCACTGTAATTTTTGTTCTCCGGAATAACTCAAGCAGACCCGTCCAGGCGCCATTTTGTCCATTTCGCCCTTGACCTTTCTTTCGCCCTACCTATCTCCACTATCACAGAAGCTACAGACTTCTTACACATTGCTCTGGATAGCCTGATAGAGGCTCTTTCGTTTGACACGTAGAATGTGGCGTCATTGCACGCATATCGTTGTGACACGATTGCATTTCTGGTTCAATATAATTTTATCATGATGGTAATATTCTGGTTCTATATAGCACTTGATGCATTTGCACTGTTTCTAAGAACATTAAAATGTATCATTACCCCTGTCATCGGATTCAAGCTCGCTCACACACAACGGATGTTCACATTTCACGCATCATACCTTTGCAGTTCTGTAAGATATCAGAATCTAATTATTGTTTCATTTTTACTTTGTGACTTAGAGTATAAGTGTATCATTGATTTTGACTGGTATTTCTATAAATTGTGTTTTTTCTTCAGTTTTGCCAGTCATTGAGAACGTACCAGTGATAGTGGGTACCACGTCAACTACAGTAGGTCTTCGATGGAATGCATGGTCTGAAGATGATGATATAGGTGATCCTCCTCTGGTAGGATATGATGTCTTTGTCGAGAAGGATGGTGCCTGGGTAACGGATCAGAGAGTAGACCAACTCACAACATCAGCCATCGTTAGTAACCTGACACCCGACACAGATTCCAGGTTTCGTGTAGCAGCAGTGAGGGAAGGAACAGGTGGAACAGGACCTGTGTCTCCTAGCAACAGCATAATAACCCGCTGTAGAAGTAAGGTTTAAGTCTTCAGAAAAAACAAGATGTTAAGTGCTATTATTTGTTCACATTTGTTCAGCTTGATTCGGTACAAATATCTAATATAGGTACGTGCATTACGTTATTAGTAAATGATTTGTGCATATATTCGGTATATTTACGACTGTCCAATGATTTAAGGCTCTTTAACAAATCAAATTTTACGAGTCAAATATGTCACATGGAAATGTTTGTATTTGCCATTCCGTACTTTCTCCTTTTAAACTATTCTGTCTTTCTAAAATTTGAAACAGAAAATTTCTTCTACAAAACATGAATTTCCCCAAAATGTTTATAGTGCCCTCGACTGTGTTTTGCCCTTTGGTAGTTACATGTTTGACTTGTAAACGTTTAATTTAAAACCACATAAAGAGTACTTGTTTTACCATAACCTTTGCGTTTACATACAATGAATTTTTCTACTATTCAATTCAATTCAATTCAATTCAATTTTATTTCGCAATATAAAAATTAAAATATACAAAGTAACAGTAAATTTTAACTATGTTTACAAAGGTTATATGCGGGGCTTTCCATGAAGGTTGCGAAAACCTGTGAAGTTGGATCGCCCATTAAAGAATGAAAAACAAATACAAAAAGAAATATAACATATTATAAGCACACAACAATAAATTAAGTAAAATAAGCAAAGTAAAACACTTCAACTATCTATAAGACAAGAAAAATTAAAATAGAGAGAAGAAAAACAATATATAAAGGGGGAAAAGAAAGGAAAGGAAAACAAGATAACAATGAAAGAGGGTTCAGATATACAATTTAGAAGAAAAAAAAATCAACAACTGAGCTGATTAGTAATTATTTAGTAGTAAGATTTTATATTGTTTTCTAAAGGAAGATATGAATTGTGATTTCGTTATTACTTGGGGAATCATATTCCACTGTTTAGGACCTAGATAACTCATTGATTTAGCTTCATAACTAGACTTAACAGACCATAAATGAAATTTGTTGGAAAGCCGTGTATTATAATTATGAATTTGACTATTATATTGAAAGAGGTCTGAAAAGGGGGCAGGTAACAACTTGTTTTTATATTTGTACATGAACGTTGCGATTTCTTGCTTATTTATATCATATATATTTAATAACGAAAGCTTCTTAAACAAAGGTGCTGATGGTGCTAGATAATGAGAATTGGTAGCTATTCTTAAACATTTCTTTTGAACTTTAAATAGTGAGTCTAATTCAGTTTGTGTTGCATTAGTGGCCCATACAATATTACAATATTTCAAGTAAGGGAAAATAATGGAATGATATAAAGTTATCAAATTTTCGGGTAACAAACTATATTTTAGCTTATTTATCAAGCCAGCATTTCTGCTGATCTTATGTAAAACATTTGTGATATGGTCCTTAAATCCCAAGCAATTATCTAATACGACACCCAAGAAGTTAACGGAATTACTTAATTGAATAAGTTTATTATTAATGTAAATGGGAATATTATCGTTATTAATTAAAGGACCGTTATTGCTAGCTATATCGGAAATTTTGGAAATTTTAGATCCTATATTATATTTAGTTTTTCGAAAATAAACACATTTAGTTTTGTCAACATTCAGGGACAATTTATTTGCTTTTAACCAGTCAGATATATTCTTAAGCTCATTATTTAGAACGCGGACAGTATTATTCAAATCTTTAGATGAAAAAAATATACTAGTGTCATCAGCAAATTGATAGAAGGTTAATAAGTTAGATGATTTACAAAGATCATTTATGTATAAAAGAAATAGCAGGGGACCCAGTATTGATCCCTGAGGTACCCCAATAAAGACATTTAACGAAGAAGACAAAACACCGTGGACAAAAGTATGTTGAACTCTGTTTAAAAGATAGTCACTAAACCAGTCTAATGCAATCCCTCGTATTCCACATTGTTGTAGTTTAAATAAAAGTATCGAGTGATCCATAGAATCGAATGCCTTAGATAAGTCTAAGAAAATCCCTATTATATGTTCGTTAGCTTGAAATGAATCTAATATTTTTTGTTGCACTTTTAAAAGAACATGTTCACAGGAATAGCTGGGTCTAAATCCATATTGAGTGTCACTTAAAATATCGTTGATATTTAAAAATTTATATAACCGATTATAGATTAGTCGTTCAAGTAATTTAGAAAAACATGGTAAGAGGGATATGGGTCTATAGTTTACAAATTTGCCGGGATCGTCTTTCTTAAAAACAGGGATTACTTTAGATTCTTTAAGTTTTAAGGGTACTTTACCAGATACAATGGAAAGATTAAATACATGAACTAACGGCAATACAATGGCGTGGATAACCCGCTTAACAACTTTACAGCTTACATTATCGATTCCACAACTTGCATTACTTCTAAGGTATTTACTGACATCAATTAATTCACTCGTATGTACAGGTGATAAAAAGATTGAATCAACAACACTTGTTCGACAATAAAAATGAGAAGAATGAATAGATTGTGGTACCGCGTCACTAACAGTTTTTCCAATGTTAATAAAATAATTATTGAATTGATTTGTTATTTCAATAGGCTCAGTAAATAATTTTCCTTTACATTGAAATGTTTTTGGAATTTGACTTTTCTTTTTGCCCAATAATTCATTAATTGTTTTCCAGGTCTTTTTAATACTATTTCGATTCAATTGTAACAAGTTCTTATAATATTCTTGACGAGCTCTACGAAGGGCATTAATAACTTTATTTCTAATTTTTTTTAATTTTCTCTCATCACTTGTACGTCTTGTTTGACAAAATGTTTTAAAACTTTTATTTTTTTTCTTAATCAATTTCAATATTTTATTGGTAACCCACGGTTTCCTATTTTTTCTTCTCTTTTTTGTTGATGTAAGAGGAAAATGTTTATCATACAATTTGAGGAATATATTCATAAATAAAGTATAAGCTTTATCAGCATCCATACACCTTAGTACGTCACCCCAATCAATGTTACTTAATTCAACAAAAAAACTATTAATCGTTAAATCATTGATTTTCCTGTAAATATAGGACTGTTCTGAAACATTTTTATAAACACCTCTCTTATAGCAGAAAATTGGCATATGATCAGTAATTGAGGAATAAAAAATACCTGGAGTAACATCATTGTCATTCGTTAATATGTTATCAATAATAGAAAGGGATGAGTTGGTTACACGGGTTGGAAGGTTAATTTGAATGTAAAAGCCGTGTGACGCAATTATGTTCATTAGAGTAATAATACTATTTGAAGTAATTTTCAATAAATCAATATTATAGTCTCCAAGGAGATAGATTTGTTTATTTTCCTTGGAGAGTTCTTGTAATAGTTTATCAAAATATGTCATATATTTATATAAATTGGACTTCGGGGGTCTGTAGATTACACCAATTACTATACTTTTTAATCGAGGTATATTAATTTCAACAAATACAGTTTCACATGAAGAACACGTGGGATTCAAGTCATCCCGTAATCGATAACACAACTTTTCATCTAAAAATATTCCCACGCCTCCTCCTCTACCAACTTTTCTGTTATTATTAATAAAGTTATATCCATCCAACATGTAACAATTTTCGTTTTCTGAATTCAGCCACGTCTCTGTAATACCAATAGCCGTAAAATTTAAAGAAAGGTTGCTAAGGTAGGCAGAAATTTGATCAAAGTTTTTGGCCATACTCCTCGAGTTAAAGTGTATAGCACTAAATTGTACTAAATTTGGATCTATAGACTCTTTGAATTCATCTTCCAAATAATATTTGCAATCATTTACATATTGTTGATCAAAGTTAGAATCAAGAATTGGAATAGAATCGTTTAATCTTACATCTTCACTCATGTCATTTAAATCATCGTAAGTTATACGTATTTTGTTTACTTGTGCAACACAGTTAAGGTATTCATCATTGTTGACAGAAAAGAATGGAAAGACAGAACACAAATTCATAGACATGCAAAATACGGGAACAAAATATTCATACAAAAACTACGTAAACTACAAAATTAAACAGGTCTATTGAGTAGTCCAAATTAATATATGTATATCTATATATATATATATATATGTATATAATATATCGGGCAAAAACAAAACAGAAAATATAAAATTGAATGCATATGGAAATGCATCAGTGAAAATGATTGTATACTAGCATTTGTTCATTAATTTGTCTCTTCCCCAGTGTCAAAATTGTTCATTAACTATTTTCATTGTCCATAACATTCACTGTCCATTTTATTTTCATCAGTTTCTCTCATTCGGTCATTCATTGTCTTTCTTTATAACCACTTTAATTCTTCTTTGCTACGAATCACTCGCTTGATGGTGTTTCCTCTGGTTGCCGGCAGTAACACGATTACGCGCCCATCTGAGGTCCATGCCTCTTTCACCTTCTCATGCTGCTTAGCGGCATAGAGAAGGTCCTGATTGGTCTTCGTCAATGCCTCGTCGATTCCGATACCACTTCCCTTTAGCTTCCTGCGCACTTTCAGGATTTCAGTTCTCATGCGATAAGTAGTGAGCTTCACGATGATTGCTCGCGGTCTTGGTTTCTTCGATGCTCGCGCTGTGCCTGGTGCCAGTGACGTAGTTCCGTGTGCTTCGTCACGCTTGGGAGCAGCGATCCGATGGGACCGGTCTATGTCATTCGGGGTAAGGGATACCCCGAGACGCTCCGTCACCAACTTACATATGACGTCATCAGTGTTCTCACTCATACTGCCATTCCCTTCACGGTTCATCTCCTCAACACCGTAGAACTTGATGCAATTTCGCCGAGAGTATTGTTCAGTATCATTTAGGGACATTTTGAAGTTGTCTATAGATGATTGATGGTTACGTAACAGATGATTCATTCTCGTAATTTCTACTTCTTTTGATTGCAGGATGGACTCAAATTCCAACAGTTTGACATCATTATGGTCAAGTCGCTCTATTATGTTTTCGTTAACCTTTTCAATCTTTGACAGTCGCTTGATAAGTTTACCTAATTGTTTGCTTACGGCTTTATCGACTGCCTTTTCAATGCCGTCGTAGTAATCGTCGCTTTGGAGATATTCACGAATAGTTTTCATGGCTGCTTCTTCAGCCTTAGATTTAACTGGCATATTGCTGAAGCCAGTGATTCACTCAGGGGGAATGTGATATGTCAGTACAAATATATGAATATAACCAAAAGTTGAAGAAAAATTGTTCAGGCAACCAGAATATTACAGTTGAAGTTGACGAACTAGACCTTCGTTCATACGAAACATATTCACCAACACATTTCCGCAAATAGAGGAGACAATCTTTCAAAACATGTCTGATAATTCCTCGCTAAAAATGATGTCAAACATCAGTTAACTCATGTATGTTCTTGTGTAACAACACAAACAGATAATATGTCTGAGTATACTGCACCGATTATGATGTAGGTTGAAGAACTAACACAAATGTGAATAACTGTATATATAGTCACCCGCACTCAACGATAGCATATGGGACTGTATAGTCATTCACTGAACAGTAACAAGCATCAGATCATTCACTTTCACCTCCATAAAACTTCGAAGAATCCACTATCAAACTTCCAAATCACATTTCAAAGTGCCACAATTGGCATAAAAATACACAGCAGCAAAACAAGAGACCATCGCGTTATGAAATAGGAGTTTTATCGATGATTTTACTCCTATTCGGTAGTACATGTAAAAAAAAACGTAGGTTCAAGCAATTTAGTTTCTTCTATATAATTTTAAACTTTAGAACCCAGTGCTTCTCCAACTGGACTACAAGTTTCAGCCATCAACCCTAAAGAGCTAGAGGTGATATGGGAGGTATGAACTGTTTTAAGAATAGCTGTTTGGTCACTTTAATAGTGAAATGCAGTTGGATGAAAAGCCTCGTCCAGAGCACAAAATGCATAGCTGTTACTATTCATTTTTGTATTACATACAGGTAGAACCGCACCCTTTATGTGATATGAAGCTGATAAAACACTTACAACCTTGATAAGATTTAATTTTACCTATTTTTTCGTCGAGATATGTCAAATAAAAACTCCACACCACCAACTATTTGTGAATGTTTCTTTACGTACCTCAACAATTGACTAAATAAAATAGATCTTGAGTAAAAAAAAAAAATATATATATATATATATATAAGCAAGTTTAGTGAAACTGCAATTTCTGACAGTGCTCAACTGTAGGAGCAAATGTAGATATAGGAGTTGGAAGGTTACACTTTATTGGTACGAGTTATACAGACTGTATATATATATATATATATATATATATATATAAAGTGTATCAATTTGTTTTCTTTTCTTAGTTGAAAGTAAGAGCTGTTGGGTTTATGAAATGGAGTTTTTATTTTATTTTACAGAAGGAAGCCAATATAGAAATGTTTGTTAATCAAGGGATTCTTGTTTAGCAGGATGATACAGGAGCATCCTTCACTGCGAAAAACTGTAGGCAAAATATAATAACATATTATAGTTTTGTCAACTAGTATGAAAGTAACTTATTTCATGTGGTTGTGCTGTATGCAACATATATTTGTATCTTTATGTTTCAGCACCTCCCCTCGGAATCAGCAGAATGCAGGAGTGGAGTGACCAATTATATGATCTACTATGCTCCCTCTGGATCAACTTCTTCAAGCTCTATCCTGGTTTTTCGTGACACTAGCTCCTACACGATAAGAGGGTTAGATACCTATCTGGACTATATTATTCAATTGACTGCATCAAATAAAGACGCGGAGAGTGACAGGAGCAGTGAGACTATCGGCAAAACACTTGAAGAAGGTTAGTGTTAATCTTGGGATGTATTTTTCCGTGAGGGTGAGGGTGTTGCTTTTTGCTTGTTAAGTGACACTGTTAATATTCTTGTTAGAATCAGACCTCGGTATGACTTCTTTGTTAAACTCAATTTCTGACTATGCTTAATTCCAGCGTCGGGTTAAATGTTAGTGGAGTACGGGCCAGCACGATAGAAATCGGAGGAGATCGAGAGCAATGAAATATGTAAATATATTTTTTAATAGCAGTGTTGTATACTAAATTACTTTGTCTGCACAATATAGATCATATACATGACTCTTTGAGGCATTAGATTACAATTTCGTTATGTCATTACATTTTCAAACCCCAATTTGTTTTATTTTTATTTTTTAGACAATAGTCGCTTTTATTGCAATCGAAATAGATTTGTTTTCTGGAATTAGAAATTGTACTAACCTTTTAAGACGAGAGTAACAAAAGTAATTGATACTCCGAAATATCAATACATAAGTCTACCATATTTCAGCGTGACATTGTTATAAACCATTTTCTTCTAATCAGTCGCGCCTGCTCCTATCCATGTGGCTATACCCCAAAGTACTACAAGCTCCTTCACTGTATCCTGGTCTACTCATCTACCTTCTAACATCAATGGTAACATCCAGAAGTATATCATCCGCTACCAGCAGACTGATCCCGTACTTGTTGATGGTGACTATAAGTCAGAGGAAGTATTGAACGGTGCGTTTGAAGGAGAGCATACTGTGGTAGACCTACCCCGTGAAATCAACTATACAGTTCAGGTAAGATATCTTGACATCAATCCTTTGGACCCAACGTTTAAGGGAATATTTAATCTCTTCATATTTTAGTGCAAGCTTTCCCTATTTAGAACATTTAAGTTTGAGCTGTTATCCTAAGCGCTTTTGGAGAAACTATATACTTAGGGATGAAATTACAAAGTGATTCTCTTTTTTACTTGTGCCATTTATGTAGCAAGCAATCCCCAATTACATGCATGATACTGTATTGAAATGAATTACATTTGAATGCTTTAATGGCATCTAAATACATGTATTTAACTGTTGTTATGCGGTCGCTTATGATAATTGTATTAGGACATGAATATCTATAATTCTATAATTAAGACTGAAACAATTTTTTGCGTGTCTTGTGTGTGGATAATGTTTGTATTGTCAATATTAATACAACACCATATTCTTATTTCCATGTTTGTCAGATCCAAACTATCAATGGAGCTGGTTCTAGCAATTGGTCCGAACCAGTGAATGCAAAGACCATCCTCTCAGGTAAGAGCATGAAACGAATGAAACTTTGTTCTAACCCAAATGTCATACTTGCAAACATTTTGTAGGTAATGTGGGTTTTTTAAAAGATGTAGAAGTAAAATGCTTTCGGCTTTTAATTAATTGTTCTTTTATTTTCGTATTTTTTTATATTACTCCTGTTCTTTTGTTCCAAATAAGTTTGCTTTTGCGCGATTTATTTTTCCTTTTTTCATACAAGTGTGCCTTGAGCATTTGATTTCAAGAGAATAACGCGCCTTACAAATCTCATGTATTATTATTATTATTATTTAATACTAGCTACATGTCAAACTAAAGTCAGTTTGTAACCTTCATAAATATTTATATAAGTTTGTAGCTTATCAGCGTTGTTGACATATTCATCCTAATATTACTCCTTATTCTCTGTTTGATTGGCTGAGAAAGTTTAATAGTCTGCATTAATCATGTATACTTTAATATAAGGAGAAATGGACATTTTTCTAAAACATTTCTTTGTTTACAAGTTTTTGTGAAACTTTATGAAACGATAAGAAAAGTTGTCATTTATGGAAGTAAATATAATCTACACTGTTGCTCATAAAGTTGGAATATTTTTTTTTTACCCCATTTAATGGAATTACTTTGACAATGACTTATTCCTAATAGATCTAGAAAATGCCCTTAAGTAAAAAATGACAGTAATGAGTATTAATGCCCACAAAAGGGCACTTATATAGTCGACACGGTTTTGATCCTGGGGCCTCACTCTTACGAGGCCATTGCTTTGCCACTGAACCATGAATGTACGCAGTGCGGGGAAGGGTAGGGGGCAGTTCCCACAAAAAGTGCAATAAATTATCAATAATTCATTGAATTCCCCCCCCCCCCCGGTCCCCAACAGAAAAAATATTTTGTGTGCCCATGCTTTGAGCCATAATGCATGGCCGTACAGAGGATTTTGTTATGTTGGGGACCGGGGTAAAATGCAATAAATTATTGTGTTGTCGTTAAAGGCTGCCATATTGAATATTTACATGTTCAAACTTGGGTACCGCATAAATCATTCCTCGACCCTCTCATTGTTTGCTTATTTATTTAATGATGCGTGTAATTTGAATCTGCATTCACACTCAAAAAGATATGTTTATGCAGATGATACATTTATATTTAATAATGATGTTAATTTTACTCAAGTTAAGATTAATTTACAAGATGATTATGATCTTATTGTTAAATGGTTTGAAATTAATGGCATGCGTATACACCCGGATAAAACAGAGGTCAGTGCTTTTGACTATAAAAGTTAGACTTCTTTTTTTTTTTTTTTTTTTTTTTTTTTTTTTTTTGGGGGGGGGGGGGGGTTCGTGTATTTGTATGTTGCAGCAGGGCGTCATTGTAAAGTATTTTTTTTAACTGAATGATCTACACTGCTCGCTAAAATAGACATGAATAAATAAATGAATAAATAAAATCAACAAAAACTTTGTAAAACGGACCAACAAAATGTATAGCTCATTACAGCATAATTACATGTATGTGATTTTTGTTTGTGCTAAAGGTGATGATAATGGTTCCAGGAAACCGCTAAGTGCTGTGATAGGGGGTGTGATAGTATCCATCGTTCTCATCGCAATACTACTAATTACTTTGGTGATGTATAGAAGGTAAGTTAACTCAACTACAGTAGAACAATTAAAAGTGAAGTCCATGCCACTATATGGTAACATTTTTACAAATATAGATATGAATTTATTTATCTAAAGGGAGCCAAAACGATAATTGATAAAGCGATTGCAGGATTATCCTATTCTAAAGGCCCTTAAAATACAGTATATTCATACAATGAATGGTTTATAATGATTTTGTTTTAAATGTTATAAGGGACATCCACAATCATACGCAGTGAGCTGTTATGCTCATCAGGGACCATTCCCACCTCACTTCTATCTGAACTTTGTGTGCGTGTGGGTGTGTGCGTGTGTGCGCGCGTATGTGTGTGTGAGTGTGCGTGCGCGTGCGCGTGTGCGTGTGTACCTGAATCTCAATGGTATTACAAAGAAGGAGGAACTTAATGCGTTTGTATTATTGAATTTCACTTCCAGGATCAAACAAAGACGTTTAGAGACTGAACCAGCCGCGTCCCCACCAAACAATGCACGTGAGACCTCATCAAAGTATGAGAACCCTGTATTTGATGACTCAAAGCAAGACCCCAATACATACGAAGACTTGAATGCTGATACCCATACCTACCAAGATCTCAATACAGATACCCCAAACTACCAGAATCTTACCGACCCCCATACGTATCAAGATCTAAAGAAACCCAACACCGACGTTACCTATCTAGAAGCCATAACATCAGATACGGGAGACACTTACGAAGAAATATAGAGACAGCCCTAGCGAGGCAGAGGCTTGGGTATGGTGCCAGCATTGATACATGCTGAATCAACAATAATGAACATGTTATGCAATACTCATACTACGGTAGTACACTATTTCAATTGTTGCAAGAATTATAACGAAACTTAAACAGCTACTTTCAAAATGTTATAGAAACAGTAAATATCTTATGTGGTTTTTATATCCTGGTACTTGGTTAGGTAATCCATTTGGCAGCTCACTCAGGAAGCTATACTGGGATGGTAGGTGATCATGAGGCGAGTAACTACAATATCACTTCTAGTTTGTAAATTAAGGGATGAAAGGGTAAATTTACGTCTAATTTCGTCAAAGTGATTGTCATTTACAATGCAAAAATGCCACTTTTCACTGATTCAATATTTGTGTACGATAATCTTTTTTAATCTGTTTTTCACTTCAAGCTGTGTAACATTTGTTATCGTCAGGTTATAGATATGTTTAGTACAGATTGGTTAAACGTGTAGATTATATAGACTTTGTAAAATAAACTAATTTCTGGTAATGATTAGCTCCGTGACAACCATTTTAATACTGGTACAGAATGATGTTGCACTGCAACTGTTAAATATTTCTGAAGTGGAGCAGGGGTTTAATTGTGTTGCATGAAAAGAGTTAACTCGTGAATTAAGCTGTGATAAATAAATAAATGCAAAGTGACACCTAGACTTTTCAGGGGGGGGGGGGGTTCCAAGAGGGGATGCCGAATCTGCCATTATCCCTCCCAACTTCAGAATATTCAGACCAGCCTGAATAGTAATTGAATGCAGGTAGTTCATTTGTTCTGAAGATCACCGTAGAGGTGTCGTGGATGAGTGGATACGTCGCCAGACTGTCGATCACAAGGTCCGCGGTTCGAGTCCCGCCGCGGCACTAATGTCCTTTGGCAAGACATTGATCTACATTTGCCACTCTCCACCCAGGTGTTAAAGTAATTCCTTAAAATGCTGTGAGCGTCGAAATCGGCAGCCTAGCATAGCCGGGTAATATTGGAGGACCTTGCAAGGTCGATACGTGCGCTATATAAGAATTCAATTATATATCTTTCTCTCTGTCTCTCTCTCTCTCTCTCTCTCTCTCTTTCCTTCTCTCTTTCTCTCTTTCCTTCTCTCTCTCTCTCTCTCTCTCTCTCTCTCTCTTTATCTCTGTTTATCATGTCGGTCACTCCGTCTATCATGGATGTTTAAGTATTTAAGAGGTGAACAAAGTGCTTGTTTAAAATATTGGATCCAAAAAAAATGAGGATTTGCCTCTTTGTTTTGCATTTTAATTACAAAAAGAGCGATATGTATTGTTGTGACAGTTGCACTTTTGTTTCATTTTCATTTGTTTCTTGTACTATTGATGCATGACATGAATACATATATATTTGTAATAACACTTCCTCAGGTAAGGTGCCTAGTGTAGCGCCATCTATTGATATTCACTTGATATCAAACACTCAGAAGGCTACATGAACATGGTTGTGCTGAGGTTCAATAATCCCCTTTTTGCCGCTTAAAGGAGATTTTAAGTCGTAATGTTGTCCTTAAGTCAGGCAAAGAGGTTAGTTTTGTTATATATTTAATGTATTTCTACGTATTTTCGAAACATAAAATGGAATTTAGTGTGCAATTTTTTGAACTACGTACTGAGAGATGTTGATGTTTGCAGTATGTAATGTAATGTAAGAAATACAAGCCCATGCTGGTTTAATATGGTGTATGTACATTTACCTTGTATCAAGAACAAAGATATCAGTAAAGATACTGCCAAATACTTTGAAAATATATTATGAGAGTGCTGAAGCACTAAGCAGAAATTTGGAATTTATTATTGTCTAGTTAATTGTTAAACCAAGCTATAGTGAAGCCTAGTTGAGACACTCGTAGAGCGAGTTTGTATTTATGTAAAGCCATAATGCAGATGGACTAGAATAGTGACTGGGGGTATTTGAATAGGTTATGATGATCATGACACAATATATACTTACTTGGTATACTTGGGTGTAGAGACTGGAAGCTTAGCTTATTTGTCCCTCTTTACTGTTGCATCCCGTCTCAAGTATGGTTCAAACTTAATTGGATTGTTTTTCCAATACCTTTCTAGGGATGACTTGAATTGGTTAATGGTGGCAGCATTGACTACTTCCTTAGGCAGTGCATTCCAATTGTTTACACTCCTTATTGAGAAACTATACTGCCTAAGTCTTGTGTTAAAACGTTGTTTGACAATCTTAAAATCATGTCCTCTTGTTGTTGATCCAGTGGCAAGTTGAAAGAATTTTGAAGGATTCACTCTGTCAAAGCCTTTCAGGATTTTGAATATCTGTATCTGGTCTGCTCTTTGTCTTCTGTAAGCCAAAGTAGGAAGTTGTAGTTCTCTAAGTCTGTCTGGGTATGCTTGTTGTTTCAGTTCAGGAAGAAGTCTGGTGGCCCTCTGCTGGACTTTTTCTAGTATGTCTTCATCTCTCTTGAGTATTGGGCACCATACAGAGTTGCAGTATTCTAGTGTTGGTCGAATAATAGTTTTGTAGAGACTAAGGAACCCCTTCTTTTGCAAGGCTGAAAACGACCTTTTTATCATTCCTAGCTTAATGTTGGCTCTCTTGGCAGCATCTGCTGCATGGGTGCTAAAAGACAGGTTCTGTTGAAACAGCACTCCCAAATCTCTTTCTTCATCGTCAGATGGAACTGTAAATGTATTTGTACCAACAGCCAGTGTGTATTCAAATCCTTGGTTCTTTCTTCCATAATGAAGTACTTTACATTTACTTTCATTAAAGGGCAATTGCCATACATTGGACCAGTTTGTTACGGTGTTGACATCCATCTGTAGCAAATCTGAGTCGGCTTTAGAGTCCACTGTCCTGTATAACTTGGTGTCATCGGCAAAAAGCTTCATGTGGGAGTCAACCGTTGATGGCAGGTCATTGATGAAGATATTGAACAATGTTGGTCCGAGCACACTTCCCTGCGGAATACCGGCTGTCACAGGAATGGATCTCGACTCTTTCCCATTTACTGCAACTTTCTGAATCCTGTCTGAAAGGTAGTCTTTAATCCAGGCAAGTAAGGGACCTTCTATTCCATAAGACTGAAGTTTACATATGAGCCGTTGATGTGGTACGCTGTCGAATGCTTTTCGATAATCCAGATAGACGCAGTCTACATTATGACCCTGGTCAATGACATCTGTCCACTCCTCGCAAACTTCTAATAGCTGAGTCGAACAAGATCTTCCAGCCCGAAATCCATGTTGTTCATCACACATTAACTTGTTCTGCTCTAAATGATGTATGACATGCTTTCTTACTAGTTTCTCCATAGACTTGCAAATAATGGATGTCAGACTCACAGGTCGGTAGTTGGCTGGGTCATTCTTCTTGCCCTTCTTGAAGATTGGAACCACTGTTGCTTGTTTCCATACTGATGGATTTTTCCCTTCGTTCATTAGCTTAGTAAATATTGATTGCAGTGGTTCGACAATCTCAGTATGTGTTTCTTTCAGCACACGCGAATGAATACCATCAGGACCTGGAGATTTGTTGATGTCTAGATGCATTAACAGGCCATCGATTTCTTCGGGTGTAAAGTCAATGATAGTGAGAAGATTACTGCATTTCTTGTCAAGTTTTGGAACTGTATGAATATCCTCCACTGAAAAAACGCTACCAAAGTACTCATTAAGGGTCTCAGCTTTCTCTTGGTCCTCTTTAGCCCATGTTCCGTCAGGTTTTTGTAGATCAGGCAATGATGGTTTTGATTTTGTCTGTCCCTTTACATAATTCCAGAAGCTTTTGGCATTCAACTTAATTTCAGCTGCTAGTTTGTTTTCGAAGTCAGATTTTGATTTTCTGATCACAGAGGTGGTTATGTCCCTTATTTTGGTGTACTCCCTCCAGTTCAAATCCACATCAGGATGTTGTTTTCTTTTACTCTTTCGATATTTATTCCAAGCTTTCCTTTTCCTTCGAACTGCTTCAAGAGCTTCACTGTTCATCCACTCTGGTCTATTCCGTTTTCTCTTTTTCTTCAGTGGGACGCAGTCTTCTATGGTTTTATGGAGAATCTCCTCAAATATATTCCAGGCTTGTATTCCAGAAGTATTTTCAAACTTAGAACTCCAATTAATGTCCTTCAGTTGGTACCTCATTTTATCATAATCTGCATGATAGTAGCTTCTCGTAGGTAACTCCTCCTCTGCCTGTATGTTGCTGACATCCATATCGAAGGTAATGGTCACGTGGTCACTTTTGCCAATGGGTGGCCCAATAGTTACATCACTGACTGTATCTTCATGACTGGTTAAGATCAAGTCAAGCAAGCTAGGTCTTTGGCCTGTCCTTTGTCTGGTAGGTTCCTTTACATATGTTGGTGCAGGAAAAGATCATTCACAGTGTCAATAAATAATTGTTCATCATTGATACTGACTCCACAAGTGGTGTTTGCCTGCCAGTTGATTCCTCTATAATTGAAGTCCCCTACCACTATCAAGTGAGAGTAGTTCATTGTACATGCTGTGCGTAGGAGACAGTTCAAATCCATATTGTTCTCAGAGTTGCTTGAGGGACTTCTATAGACACAGCCAAAGAGAAGATCAGTGCCATTGGTAGACAGTCGTATCCATACAGATTCTTCAAATTGAACTTCATCTACATGTATGTCTACCAAGCTACCAGAAATCCCTTCTTTCAAGTAAACTACTACTCCTCTCTGTCTGGCTTTAAGCTTTGGTGGTAAGAACATATGGTATCCTTGTAACTGCAATTCAGTAGGCTGGATCGCATAATCCTGGTTGATCCTTTTAGGGTAGATCTCAGTCAGAGCTATTACGTCTGGTTTGACAAGTGTAATGGTTGTATAGAGCTCTTCCTTCTTGTTTGTTAAAGTATCACAATTTGTGTAGAAAAACTTAATTGATGACTCAGTTCGCAAAATACAGTCTGGATGATTGGTTAGATCATTAACCTTCTCCTGTTCAGTAACCTTTGAAGATGGTGGATCAATCACTGGTGCATTATACTCAAAGTTTAGATTTGCTCTATGTGCTGTGCTCT